ATATATATATACACTAAAGGGACACTTTTGAAAGACATTTTAAAACAAATGTTAGATGGATTTGGACCAAGACATTATCTTAGCATTTCTAGAACATAATCAACAAAATGTTTATTCAAAGATTGTTGTTATTGCTACTTGTCTTTTGAGTAGTGTCCGACTCATAGAAACCCTGTATAAGGTTTCTGAGGAGCAGCTAGTAGGTTTGAACCAGTGACTTTCTGGTTAGAAGTCCAGTGCTTATCCTGTTACATCGCCACATCAGGAAGCCAATAGATAGGAAATATAAATCTTGCTTGATAACCAGCTCACAAATACATCTCAATTCTTTAGAGTTAATATTGTTGTTGTATGCTGTTGAGTTGGTTCTGACTCATTGCAACCCTAATAGGGTTCCCGAGGAGTGGTTGGTGGGTTTGAACCATCAACCTTACAGTTAGCAGTCCAGTGCCTATCCTATAGTGGTACACCAAGACTTCTTAGAGTTAATAGAATCCTGCATTATTTGGAGGAATACTTTTAGAAAGTTTTATAAATGCCAGCCCATTTGGCAATGTCTGTAGAGGCAGAAGGATTGCAGCTTTGATCTGATCATCAAGGCCTGAAATCTATCTGTAAAGTGATTGAAGTCACTGAAAATTTAGGATTTCTTTTGAGTGTAACAATCTAAGGATCATACAGATATACATAAAGTTAGAGTTGCAACTACCCTTTCAAGAATTTTGAAGCAGTCAGTTATAATCCTATATTCTACTTTCTTCATTGTAATTCTTGATGAAAGTGAATTAAGAGGTAAGAAATGTGGAAAATAATACAGTGCCACTTGGAATTCATAGATTCAAGAAGGATCTTGAATAACTGCTGATAATGTGTTATTTGTCCCAGGATATGAATTTTGAGCTTGTTCTTTAGCCTAGGGAAGAATTCGGTACCTGTATCACAACCTGCCTTTGCTTTTATAACACCAAAACACTGGGATGGCAGTGGAGAGAATGTAACGATGCTTAACTAGAAAGTCCATGGTTTTTTGGTGTGTGCGTATCAAAGAAGGAAATGATGAATGTGTCAGATGTGTCACTGTCTGAAGGCAATGGTGAAAGAACAAGGCTATTATACACTTGGAACAGGTTCCAACAGGTGAAAGTGATTCAAAGAACCATTTAAGTGAGCTGCTAATCAACAGGATGGTGGTTCTGAAAGGTTTACAAAGGCAAAAAATTACAGTACTGAATTTAATTACTGGGCTGCTTAATAGCTTTAGTTTGTTTTTTCTTGATTTTATGGAGGAAGTTATATGCTTTAGTTGTATTTACAAGTGTGGTTACTAATGAAGTATTAAGATAAATGCCCAAGGAAATATAATTTGTCTACTATAATATTTCAGGAGTGTGGTGACTCTCTGTACAATAAACAGTGGACTGTGAACCACAAGGTCAGCGGTTTGAGCATACTAGCTGCTCCCTGGGAGAAAGATGAGGTTTTCTGCTCTGGCAAAGATTTACCACCTCAGAAACTCTATACAGGGCAACTATGTTGTCGTTGTTAAGTGCCATCAAGTCAGTTATGACTCATAGGGGCCCTGTATAGGGTTTCTGAAGAGCGATTGGTGGGTTTGAAATGCTGACCTTGTGGTTAGCAGTCCAGTGCTTATTCTGCAGCACCTAACCACCACTCCAGGGTCACTACGAGTTGGTACTGACTCGACAGCACTTAGAAAATCAACTACATACAGTATTTAAAGAGATCATACTGGCTAGACTTTCAAAATCCCTATTTTAATTGCAGAAACATCCGGAACAAGTTAGAAACATTCAGAAGAGAAGTAAGACTTTCCAACAGTAAGGTGGAAAAGACTCATAAAGGAATCATAGTTCAGACACCTCTTAGAGAGCTTCCAGTGGGTTTGCAGTTTAGACTGGTTTGCTTGTTTAGTCTCCCAGCTGAGTAATTGAAAATAAAAGGCTGATGAATAGAAAAAATTCCCATCCTAAAGAATCTGAAAAAACCATAAGGGAAGAAAGTATGCAGCCTTTTGCTTATTTATTAAAGTTGCGTTTTCTGTGGCCAAAATGGGGCAGTATTTTTTACTACACTTTTCAAACAATCTGGATTCTGTTTTATCTACTGCTTTGCTGTGCTGCAACTAAATGCAGCACAAATAAAAACATCCAAGGGGCCAGGCTATAGATCTTTATGGAAGCAGGCTACCACATAAAGACTGAAAATTCAACCTTTCAGTTAGCATCCAAGTGCTTAACTACTGTGCCACCAGGGCTCCTTCCACTATCTTTTACAGTCTCACAACTTGTAGACTCTTTATCCTCCACGTAAATCAGTCTTGGACTCCTAGTATGGTGGTGGTGGGAAAATGATAATATTTAGGTTCAAGTAGATGTGAGTGGCTTGACTTCTGGTGCGGTGCTATATATAGGATCAACAATGGATTGCAAGCGCACCAGCTGCTCCTCAGAAACCCTACACAGAATTGCAATGAATTGGAATCTACTTGATCACACTAGCGATGCAGTACGTAAGTGAAGTCACTGAAATGGTATTTGAGGTGAGACAATAATTGCTTGTGTTTCATTTCTCTGTCCAAGTGTTTCCAGATCTTATTTCCATTTCAAGATCAGGATCTAATCATAAAAATCTAAGTTTCCTTTCCCAGTCTTCTATCCAAATGATTTTTCTCAGCAGCAGTTAATTCGTATCAATTACAATCAAATCAGGTGTGTTAAGTGTTAAACTCTCAAAATGCAATGAAAGAATCATCGCAAAGATGTTGATTGATTCATTAATATGGTTATATGGGAAGAGAGAGGAACGTGGGAAGAAAGAGAAAAAGAACTGAAATACCTGATCATAATTACCTGTACTTATTATTGGCCATTATTACATGCACTGCTTGAATGTAATGAAGTTTCCATCATTCTGTGCTTATAAACTTTTACTAGTAAATCAGTTAGCACACACACAAAATAATCACATATTTTCTGCCTAGTCACTAAATGATAGATTTATGCTCATTACTTTTTTTAAAAATTATTCCAAACAATTAAAATATTTTTTCAGAGAAAAGAATGTTCACTTACAACTTGAAGCAAAGAGAGATACCCAAATCCTACATTATCAAAGTTTACTTTCACATTTTTCCATCGGGCAGTCTCATTTCTCTCTATTAGTTTTAGGCAATCAGAATGATTATTCACGTCGGAGATGTCAAAGTAGTCACCAGTTGTGGTGTTAATACAATGGTAGAATTTGCCAGCAAACAAATTTACGCCCATGATGCTGAAAATTAGCCAGAATATAAGACAAACCAGAAGCACATTCATGATGGATGGAATTGCTCCTAAAAGGGCATTCACAACCACCTAATACACAAATGGAAAAAAAGAAGAGTCAGAATTCCTATTGGTTAAAAAAAAGAAAAAAAGACATTCCCCTACTAATCTTTAGACTTTCTAAAAAAATTTTCCTATCAAGACAGTTTATTCCAGGATGCTTAAAAGCAAAGAAAAAAAATCTTAAAAATTCTTAAGATATTCAGTAAGAGAAACAGTTATAGGCAATATAACCAAGAAATATCAACAACACAGAAAAAAGGGGAGGGGAGTATACTGAAACGTTAAAAGAAAATAAAAATCAGAATAGCTTGCTGCCCAATTAAGCCAGAATATGGGTTGTCTATTAGAAAACAGTGAAATAGGAAATCCTAATGCAGAAGATGAATTCATTTTAAAAATGACAACATACTAAAAAATAAACACCAAAACACTTGGACATGAGTTGTTCTGATCAATATATTTTTAAAATAAATAGTTCAGGTATATAAATATAAAAACCTTATTAAATACCTACTATGATTTTCCTTAATTATTCATGCATTGCTATGACTAATAATAATTTTTTGCATAAGAAGCGAGACAATTTAGCATTATGTATTTCATTAAATTATCACATCGTTTATTTCAAGCTCCAGTCATGTAAGTTGTTTCATTTACTGAGTTTAATTCAATAAACTTATTTTAAATGAAACATAAATTTTCAGTTTCTTAGAAAAAGGAGGGATGCCATACACAGTTCCCAAATTTAATTGGTTATATCAGTTTCTCTGCTAAATTATTGTCTACCTTTTTTTTTTTTTTTTTTCCTATAGAAGCATATCCCTTCTATTATCTTTATGTCCTGGGCCCAAAATTTAAAATCTTAGTTTTCATATTTGTCTTTTTTGTAGGGATGGCTGTCCTTGCCTCTTCCCCCGACAGTTCTCATCAAAGCCCCACATGTAAAGAGTGAAGATAAAGGAACAGGCCCTAGAATGTTCATACGGGGCAGACGATGTCTCAGACTTGATGTAAGTAGCTAAGTTTGCTCCTAACTGATATACTTCTATTATTCTTGTCACTTTGCTATAGATAGCAGGCATTGAAAGAGCTTGTATATTACAGTTGCCATGTCTGAGCATTTTAGAATAAATGGTTTCTGGTGGCCTGTCTAAAAAATATGTATATATAAACCAAGTCTTTATGATTCTGAGTCGTGCTTAAAATCTGTCATGAAATCTAGGATTTCTGAAGATATAAAACAGTATGAGAAATAGGCCAAAGAAAATAATAAAACCATTAATGACAAAGATGGGGAAATGAGTATGAAAAATTTTTTTGAAACGATTGTGAAAAAATTTAAAAGGGTTGAGTTGCCCAGGCAGAACTAGATGATGTGGTTTATGTACCAAGCTGGCACAGGGCTTCTTAACATATCTCATTTGGTAGTCCACATTAATAAAATTGACCTAATATGCCTTATTTTTACCTCATTTAAAGACAATTTTCACTACATTTTAATGCAATTATAATTCTTCAGGATTAAAGATTTGAAAACTGGAGTCAAGTTAATATTTATTTCAGTTTATAGAACACTTGGCTACCATACAGATTTAAAAGTGGTGTCTACTATTTATGATCAAGTGGTACCTGTTAAAAGGCATGCTTCACCTAAACCCAACTTGGAATGTGAGCAGAACACTGGTGACCTAAACTTCCTTCTTGAATTTCCATTCACATCCATCTTCTCACACTGTTTTCTTCAAAACCTTTCTTATCTCTATCCTTTCTTTTCCATTCTCAGCATCACTATCCTAGTTCATGCCTGTACAATAGTTAGCCTCCTAACTCTGCTTTTCCCTTTGATTTATGTGAAATGAATGAACCTTCCACAAATTCCACTTTGAGAATATCATATTCCTGATTTTAAATTATTACATAGATCTCCACTGATTTATACAGTATTTTCTTTACCTTGATATTCAAATCACTCCATAATCTACATATCTAGTTTTAATTTTCTTGGACACCTATCTTTCATGCTGTTTTGTTACATGGAATGGACTTACCAATAAGTTTGAAATCCCTTGCCCAATATCTTCCCTTCTGAAATACTCTCTCTTAAGAAAGGTTCTGGTACAAATAGCACTTCTTTCATGAAGGCTATATCTTACTGCCAAATTTAATGTCTGAAATAAAGATGATATTTTCTTCCTTGGAATTCAAGAATCAGAATTCTGGTGCTGGTAGACCATGAGATTACTGAGTATTGTGTTCTCATTTGGCAAATGAGAAAAATGAGGTTATAAGAGGGTAAATTCAGCAATTCTTACAATTCTATCCCTTTGTTTCTTCTAGAGTTGCTCCCTGATGTATGACACATATATTGCTCTATGAGGGTAAGTGTGCTCTGTAGGATCAGCACTGGACTGTGAACCACAAGTCAACAGTTCAAACCCAGCTACTCCTCAGAAACCCTATACAGGGTCGCTTTGAGTTGGAACTGACTGGATGACACTTAACAACAACAATGAGTATAACTGGAGTCCTGGGATGGTGCTGTAGGATAAGCACTTGACCACACAATCAGTTTGAACTGCAAGCTCAGCAGTTCAAACTCATCAGCCACTCCTCAGAAACCTTATACAGGGTTGCTATGAGTCGGAACTGACTTGTTGGCACTTAACAGTAACAAATGAGGGTAAGTCAAAATTTACTGCTATAAAATCATCAACACCTTTATTAAGCAAAAAAATCAAAATGTGAAGCTAGTGTTTCTCAACTTTTCCTCCATCTAGGTCTGCACACTTCTGAAAGTGGTATCTTCATCTCTCTAATCAAGAAATGTAAGAAATGTAACTAGTTAATTATTAGAAAAAGTTTGGGATTAAGTAATAAATCTGAGAGGTTTGCTTTGGTACTGGGGATTAGTTTTGTCTTAAAAATCAACTCTGACTATGAAATTCATGATGCAAGAAAACCCTCGGCAGTTGAGCATTTCTGGATTATATGAAATGCAACATTGGTACTTATTTCATTCTGAGACAAGTGTTATTTTCACTAACTAGATCATAGAAAACATCTGTCATAGTATTGGAGAATTGGCTATTTTAAAAGTGCATTCATATTTAAGATTTCATTAAATTACACAATGGAATATCATAGAAAGGATCATCTTTTCCCAAGGGCCCAAAGTCATTCCTTGCTTTAGCAGAGAGGAAGATCTATTAACTCTTTTTTGTCCCCAGGGAACTGCAGTAATGGATTCCCAAGTGGTGAAGACACTAAGCAAAATTGGCTTGAGTAAGAATAGCTTGAATTTCCAGGCTGCATCAAAGGAACTATCTTAATGAATGAATAGTAAACATTGTTCCTTCTCACAAACTTTTTAAAAAACATTACCCTGTAGAATTTTTCTAATCTAGCACTTGCCACAAAACTTACAGTTCTTTTAGAATCCATTTTTCTATATGGTTCATAATCTTTAAAAATGAATTAACTCAAAACTTAAGTGAAAGGTTGATAATTAAATACCCAGATTAATTTTAGGAATATTAATATAAGTATAAATTTCTTATCTGAATAAATTGTTTTTTAAATATTTGGAAATCAGTACTACTCCTACATTCAAATGTTTCTCTAATATAAATATAGAAAAAACTGTGTGACAAAAAATCAAAAGTAAGGCAACTATGGATGATTTTTCAGTGGAAAGTAGAGTAAACATATTTTTTTCACATCTCAAGACGACATTTGTGTTGAAGGGCTTAATTAAGGTAATTTTTTAGGGAAGATGTGATGTATCAATTATTCAAATAAAAAATTGCAGCACTTTCTCCTCCTCAAAAATAAAAAACATCGCTCTTGCACAGTATTTCTATATTTTGCTTCCTATCTTTGTACTGTCATGTCTTTTAAGATCTCAGTAATTTAATTGTTATTAGTGTGCGTGCTGTTGATTCCTACACATAGCAAGCAACCTTATATGGCAGAGTGGAATTGTCCCATTGGATTTCCTAGGTTATACTTTTTTTATGGGAGCAGATTACAAGGTCTTTTCTGCTATGGAAGCAAGTGGGTTACTTTGAACCACTAGCCTTTTCATTAGCAGCTGAGTAAGTGCTTTAAACATGACCAGGGCTCCTTTAAGAAGTTAGTAGTCACTTATCTAAGAAGTGAGTTTATTCATTATTTAACACCCAAGATAAGATGTTCCTGTTTCTAGAGGGGTGTTCTATTCTGTATTATTAAACAACAAAACAGAAAAACAATGGTACTTTTATATTATTTTCCCCACCTTGAAACACAAATCACATGTGCTCATTCAACTATTTCTTTATATATTTTTGTCTAATTATATTTCCAAAATAATCACATAAACTTAAAACTTCCTAAAAAATAAAAATGGTCACACAATCAATACCAATCAATATGATGCTCTCAGTCTTATGAAACCTGGAATATTACAATTAAGTATCAGTTCACATATATCAACAAAGCAAAGAATCAACTTCTGGTACCTGGAGGTCAATTTTCAGGACCCAGAACAAATAATAAAAAAGGGCATTGTAAATGCTTCGAAAGTATCATTGAACTGACAAGTTAAGATTTTCACACAATCATCCTACACAGGGGTTTCCCACCCACCAGTAACATCAAATAATATTCCATCAATGGATAACTCAATATTTACATAACCAAATCATTTTCAGTAAAACTTAATAAGGAAATCAACCATTGGAACTATAATCCACAGAGGGTCAATTTACAAAGGTATGTTTTTAAAGAGAATTTAAACCCTTTGAATAGAGGGGATTAGAATGCAAACACTGTATTGTCCCTACTGTGGTACAATAGTGTCTTTCCCACTCCCTCCCTTACCCTACTACACATAAGTCACAGTGAAAGGATGAAAGGTAGCAAAAGGGGTAATACAGTACCCATTATAAAGGGTTGAGGGGAGGAACCAGCGCTCCACCCTATCCAAGTTGGAGCAAGATTATCCTATATGAAATAGAAATATATAGTTTGTTATTAGTTAGAAATCTGATATGACAGAACATTTGGTGTTACTTTTTGTATATGATGTTCTCTGTCTATTTCCTATCAATGAAGACTTGAGTTCTTTTAAAACAGACGGTTTTAAGATTTCCTAGATTAGGAAATTCAAAATACAAATTTAAATACATATTTTATTTTACTCAATATTATTCATGATATCAATTCACTCAGTTCAGGTTTACAAGTTGAAAAATTTGGACTGGAAATTTGAAATACAATAAATGTTTAAAAGCTGTCAGCCAGAAATGTGCATAAAACATGCAAAAACATAAAGTGCAACGTGATGGTAATCTATTTATTACTTTCTAACTTTGTGTCAAGCACAGTAAAACATGCTTTATTTGCTAATGTTGCATAAAAGCACATGCTTGAAAAAGTGACATAAAAATAAAATGAGTGCCTGATTTTTGCTTTAATACAGCTATAGCTTTTTTTTTTTTTTTTTTTTTCTGCTAGGGAAAATAATTAAATGAGAGTTTCTGAATATATTCAAATCTCAATTTTGAATTATAATCATTATTATATCCATCCTCACCATCATAAAACCGTGATTATGTTTTTGCAAAGTCAAAAATTCAAACACTAGAAATAAAAAAAAAAAAAAGAATCAATCATAAGAGTATTTTGTCTCTACAATGTCAAACAAATGTAGAAGTTACCAATGTATTGTTTTAGCTGCTAGTATGAAGTAAGGCTTCATATTCATAAATCTGTCAATTTAAATAGTTTCACCAACCAGTGTTGGTTAACAGCTTATGTCTTTAAATAGTTTTAGGCAAGTTTTAAAAACTCACCTCTTCTTGTAATATAAAAAACATTAGTAATAACTAATTGTGGATAAGGTTACTTCTGTAAAAATTAAAAATAGAACCACAGACCAACTTTGTTAAGGAAATAAAGTGTTATATAAGGAGATACTTGACTATTTAACTCATAGATTTAATAAACTTCGGAAAAGCCACATTTATAATGTTTATAAGAATTTCAAGGAGCCCTGGTAGCACAGTGTTTAGGTACTGGACTGCTACTGGAAGTTCAACAGTTCAAAACCTGTCATTGCTATAAGGGAGAAAGATGTGGCAGTCGATCTCGTTTAAGCTTGTTGTTTGGTGAGGTCGAGTTGGTTCTAATTCATAGTGACCCTGCATACAATAGAACAAAACACTGTCCAGTTCCGTTCCACCGTGTCAATCCATCTCGTTGAGGGTCTTCCTCTTTTTTGCTGATCCTCTACTTAACCAGCCGCGAGGTTAGCAGTTGGAAACTAAGAGCTGTTCAGAGGGAGAACGATGAGACTTTCTGCTCCTGTAAAGATTTAAGCCTCGGAAACCCTGTATAAGGTCGCTATGAGTCAGAACTGACTCCACAGCATATAACAACTACTTAGCCAAGCAAGATGCTCTTTTCCAGGGACTTCCTGATCACATAACCAAAGCACATCAGAGGAAGTATCACCATCCTTGCTCCTAAGGTGCATTCTGACTGTACTTCCAAAACAGATTTGTTTGTTCTTCTTGAAGCCCATGGTAATTTCAATATTCTTTGTTAACACCATAATTCAAATACTTCAATATCCATTTTTCTGTGATCTTCTGTATTCATGGTTCAATTTTCGCATGCAAATGAGGCTGCTGAAAATCCCATGACTTGGACCTGGTGAACCTTAGTCTTCAGGCTGATATCTTTGCTCTTTAACACTTTAAGGAGGTTTTTTGCAGCAGATTTCTCCATTGCAAGACATCGTTTCATTTGTTGACTACTACTCCCAAAAGCATTGATTGTAGACCCCAATTAAAGGTACTTGTAATGAATAAGTCGTTGGTCTTGAAAATTTGTATCATGTGATCTGTAGCATTAATTCTATCACCAAGGCCATATCTCGCAACTAATAACCTACCATTCCTTTCTCTTTGTTTCCAACTTTTACATCCAGTCACCAGATGATAGATGTATGTCGACTGTGTATTTGATCAGTTTTAGACTGAAGGCGTTGATAGAATTCTTGAAGTTTATTAGCTTTAGTGTTTGGTGCATAAATTTCAATAGTGCCATATTAATTGGTCTTCCCTGTAGGCCTAGGAATATTGTCTTATCGCAGACAGTATTACACTTCAAGATAGATCCTGAAATAGCGTTTTTAAAATGAAAGTGACACAATTCCTCTTCACCTTGTCATTCCCAGCATAGTAAATCATGATTGTCTGATTCAAGGCCAATATCAACGCATTTTTATCTCACTACTGCCTAGGATACTGCTATTTGTGCATACCATTTCACTTTTGATGACTTCTAATTTTCCTATAGTCATACTTTGTACATTCCACTTTCTAATTACTAATGGAAGTATGTAGCTGCTTGTTTTCATTTAGACAGCAGCACTGGAAACTCTGTGGAACAGTTCTATTCCATCCTGCATGGTCACTATGAGTCAGAATCAACTCTAAGGCAACAAGCTATGTTTTGGTTTATAAAAACTTTAAATGTTTCAAATATTTCAGGTTTCAGAAGCCTTTTAAAATGCATTGCCAGTCTTAAAACAAACAAGCAAATAAACCCAATGTAGCAAATTTAATTGGAGACTCAAGTTCCCAATTAACTTAAGTTTTAGATACATTTAGAGAGAATTTCCAATAAAATTTTAGTGAAAATGTCACACTCTCTATGAAATAAAATGTGGTTGTGGCAGTGGTTGTGGGCCACAGAGTCGGCTCCAACTCATCTTTACGGGACTGTAAGTCTTTACGGAAGCAGAAGGTCTCATCTTTCTCCTGAGGAGTCTGATAGATTCGAACTACTGACCTTATAGTTAGCAGCCCAGCTCATAATCCACTACACTACCAGGGTTCCTTTGAGAAATAAAAGAGGGCTCTTTATATTTATTGCTTTGAATTGTCTTGAATGAGGAAAAGCTTTCCTATATAAGAAAACTGAACACAAGTCCTATGTTCTTAAATGTTGTTGTTGTTGTTATGTGCCCTGGAGTTGGTTCCGACCCATAGCGACCCTGTACAGGGTTTCCGAGGCCGTAAATCTTTACGGGAGCAGAATGCCTCATCTTTCTCCCGCGGAGCAGCTGGTAGTTTCGAACTGTCGACTTTAAGGTTCATAGCCCGATTCATAACCACTACGCTACCAGAGCTCCTATGTTCTTAAATAGTGACATTTCAAAAATTTTTTATTTTATAAGACAAGTTAATGTTATAAATTACTAGAAGACAGAAGTCTGCAGTATAGCTTAGTTTCTATAAATACCATTATACCATGGGTAGCAAAAGAAAAAAATGCTGTGTATTGGAATCATACTTAATTTTGCTCTTTAGACAAAAGAAAGTATATTTTCTTAAAATAGAACTACTTTTATATTGAATATCTTATATGCATTAGTATTTCATGGTTATAGAAGAAAAAGTGTTAGAAAACAAATACTCAATAATGGAAACATTTCTAATCTATGGTGAATCACAAGCAATGATTTAATGTTTCCTCCAAAGAAACAACATAAAATTCTGACTTGTATATAATCTCAGGTTAATGTTACTACTATATAAATCAGTCAAGAAGACTAATACAGTTACAAATTCTGGCTATGCAATATAAAACTTTTTAAAAGTTTAAAATTCAGTCAACATTTGTTTTTCTACTTTTGAATAAATTCATGTGATGTAAATTTTAGCATTATAATGAATCCTTAAATATATTCAAGTAAATCAAAGTTTGGCATTATACAGACAAAAATTTTTGGCAACTCCTTTAATTTTTTTCTCTTATACTTATACTTAGGCACACATACATTCAGATTATTCTCAATAAGCTCATTAAATACAGTTGTCATCACAAATAAGTACATAACTCAGAATTTAATTGATCTAATAATTGATTTTTATCATTATATATAGTAATTTACTAATGCATCTGTTTTTATTTTGTTTTGTTTGTATACAGATTTGTAAGGAAACTCCCAAAATGCATTAAAAAATAAAGTCATTTTTGTAAGCACAGCTGATAAATGATATTAAATCATTTCAGGAAGTAGAGGACTAGGCTCTCTTGCATATCTCCTAGAGGTAAATATGCAATAGATAAAAGAATAAAGTAGCAATTTACAATGATCTGCCATTCCTTTTGCATGCATAGATTTTACATTTTAAAAATTTCCTTGAATTTAGGCTCTATGCAATCCAGGCTCTTTCATTTTTCCTTACCCTCATCCCTTCAAATCGTGATAAGGCTCTCAGAGGCCTTAGAGCTCTTAGTGTCCTGAGAGATTTGATGGCACCAAGTTCTGAATAACCCAAGGCATTTGCTGTTAAACTGACCAATGAAACCTGCACAAATAAAAATAAAAGGAACTTTTGTCAGTTCAGTTTTTGTCATGAACATACAATGTGAAGTCCCTGTGTGACACAAACTGTCAAGTGCTGGCTACTAACTAAAAGGTTGATGGTTGGAACCCAACCAGAGGTTCCTCAGAAGAAAAGTTTGGTGATCCGCTTCCAACAGGCTGTTGTTGTTAAGTACCGTCAAGTCGATTCCGACCCACAGCAACCCTGTATAGGGTTTCCAAGGAGCAGCTGGTAAGCTTGAACCACCGATCTTGCAGTTGAAATGACTTTGCAGTCTGATACATTAGCCCACAGCGCCACACAAGGATTCCAACAGGTTTTAACCATGAAAACCCTGTGGAAGGCAGTTCTACTCCAAAACACATGAGGTCATTGTGATTTGGAATCAATTCTATGGTAACTGGTATGCAACGTAAAAACCAAAATCTTTACTTATTACTCAGAAGATAAATACAGCTAGACATTTCAGACCACTTACCAATCTAAAAACAGCTTTCAAGTTAAAATTAACAAAGTAGTTTTAAAACATTAAAAGATTTAAAAAAATTAGTATCATATAATATACTAATTGAAGTGCTGGTGTGGCTCTGTGAGTTAATGCTCTGGACTACAGAGTCAGTTTGAACTGCAAGGTCAGCAGTTCAAACTCACCAGCTGCTCCTGGGAAACCATATACAGCCCTGGCTATGGGTGGGAACCGGCTCTATGGCACTTCACAAGAACAATATACCATTGTGGTGCTGCAAGATAATGCACTAGACTGCAAGATTGGTTTGAACAGCAAAGTCGGTGGTTCAAACTCACCAGTCGCCCCTCGGAAACACTATACAGGGTCGCGATGAGTTGGAACTGACTAGATGGCACTTAATAACAACTGCAACAATATACTAGTCCTTGTGTGGCACTGCAGGTTACATACCGGACCTCAATGTTGGATTGAACCTGAAGGTTGGCAGGCAGTTCAAACTCAACAGCCGCTCCTCAGAAACTCTATATGGAGTCATTATGAGTCGGAACCAACTCCAGGACACTTAACAACAATAGCAATCCTTTCCTAACTTTATTAAATTGCTGTTAAATTCAGGGCTTTATCTTATGGCTAGTTTATAAAATACAAAACACTTCTATGGTATCTGTAAAATCGAAAAAAACTGTATATTTAGCAGTATAAATGATACTCTCAGAGGTTGATTTGCTAAATTAGTATGAATGTTAATATTTGTGTTTTCTCTTGTTATGTGCCGTGGAGTCAGTTCTGACTCATAGCGACCCTGTACAGGGATTCCGAGGCTGTAAATCTTTACAGGAGCAGAAAGCCTCATCTTTCTCCTGGGGAATAGTTGGTAGTTTCGAACTGCTGACCTTGCAGTTCGCAGCCCGATTCATAACCACTACACTACCAGAGCTCCTTGTGTTTTCTCTTGCTTAATGTTTATTTCTATATAAATAATATTATTTAAAAAGTGAAAAGATTCTTCAAATTTTTCTATACTAACATGGCTTTTGTCACAAAACCTGGCACAAAATGGCCAGTTAACAACTATTTAACAAATAAATTCATGAGTGGATTTATTTCAGTTGTATGAAATGTATATGATTGAAGAATAAAGTATATTGGGTATCTCATCTCTAAAGGAAAAAAATTTATCAAATTTTCATATCCGAACAGGGTTATAATTTTGATGGTTTGAAAATGGCTAATATTGGACAGTTTCATATACACTGTGCATTATTCTTAAAGAAGTTTCTATTTTGGAATGTATTTGTTGCTGTTGAGTAGGTTCTGGCTCACAGTGACCCTGTGTAGGATTTCTTCATAGGCTGTAGATCTTCATAGGAGCAGAAAGCTTCATTTTTCTCCTGCAGAATGGCTGGTTGGTTCCAATGCTTAAGTCCAGTGCTTATTCTACAGTGCCTCCAGCTCTTTAAAACAATTAATTTAAAGCAACTTAAGTACATTTGAAACTGTATTTAAGTTGCTTTAAATTTTACACACTTTTTTGTATTGTGTGAGATGTGTTATCATTGCTTTTTTATCATTTAAACTGCTACATTAATCCTCATGAAATAATTAAAACAGAACATTATTGGAAAGGTATAAAACTTTATAGAATTATTTTCTTTGAAATTTCAGAAATGACTATTAAAACATAACCTTTGAACATAAATTCCTGTTTCCAATAAAAAGCTCAGATACGCAATAAGCAGAGTTGTTGTGAGTTTCTGTTGAATCAGTTCCAACTCATGGCAACAGCATGTGTACAGGGTTGTTTCATATGTACAGGGAAGAATTGCTCCATAGGGTTTTCAAGGATGTGGTTTTTGGGAAGGAGTACATCAGGACTATCTTCCCAGGTCCCTCTGGGTGGGTTTAAACCATCAACCTTTCAGTTAAAGTTGACTGCTTTATTCTGTGCCATTTACTCAGGTACTCCAATAAGCATAATTGAGGAAATCAAAGCTTAGGGAAGTTTTAAAAGGCTTAAAGTATATTAATATTTAAAAACTAGTATAAAAAAATCATGGGAATCCTGGAGTGTCACTGTAGGATAAGCACTGGATGTTAACTGCAACGACAGCAGTTCAAAACCACTAGCTGCTCCTTGGAAACACTATGCACCAAAATAAACCCATGCTAACTTGTTATAACATCTTTGAACAAGATCTAGTTTGAGGCAATAAGAAAGAATATGAATTCTTCTAAAATTGAATCGAGAACAAATATTAAATTTATAATGAAGCTGGGGTGTAAGAATAGTAAAATCATTGATGCTTTAATACAAGTTTATGGGGTCAATGCCTCAAGAAATTAGCAGTTTAGAAATTGGCAACTCATTTTAAGAAGAGACAAGATAATGTTGAAAATGAAGCTCACAGTGGTAGATCACCCATATCACTTTTCAAGGAAACAATCTTGTTTGTGCCATGTTCAGTGAGGACAAATTATTAATAGGAGAACACCACAAACATCTCAATTCCAACGATTAATAGGAGAACACTACAAACATCTCAATTGGTTCAGCTTATACAATACTGGCTGAAATTATAAAGTTCAGCAAACTTTTTACTTGATGGGAACCCAAACTGTTACATCCACACAACTGCAGACAAAAGCAGAGTTTTCAATGGAAATTATAAACTTGTGTGATCAAGAAACATTTCTTGGAAGAATTGTAATAGGACATGAAACATGGCTTTACCAGTACAGTCTTGAAGGTAAAGGACAATCAGAGAAATGTCTACCAAGAGGTGGAAGCAGACTGGTCAAGAGCAAAGATCCAGATGACAGGTTTTTTTTTGATGCTCAAAGCATTTTACTTGATGATTTTTCTGGTGGGACAAAGAGCTGAAACATCAGCTTATTATGAGAGTGTTTTAAGAAATTTTAGCAGAAAAATACTCAGGAAAACTTCACCAGAAAGTCTTTTTTCATCAAGATGAAGTGACAATGTTCCTGTTCATTCTTCTCTTCAAACAAGGGCACTTTTACAATTTTTCATTTTAATGGGAAGTGATCAGTCACCACCTTACAGTCCAGATGTGGCTCCTTCTGATTTCTTTGTGTTTCCTAATTTTCAAAAATCTTTAAAAGGTACCCATTGCCCTTCAGCTATTAGTGTTAAAAAGATTGCATTGTCATGGTGAAATTCCCAGGACCTTCAGTTCTTTGTTGTTGTTGTTGTTGTTGTTAAGTGCCATCAAGTCGTTTCAGACCCTGAACAGGGTTTCTAAGGCTGTAAATCTTTACGGGAGCAGAAAGCCTCATCTTTCTCCCGCGGAACAGCTGGTAGTTTCAAACTGCTAACTTTGTGGTTTGCAGCCCAATTCGTAACCACTATGCTACCAGAGTTCTTTAAGGGTACACTAAATGGCTAGTACCATCACTCACAAAAGTGCCTAATCCTTATTGGAGTTTATGTTAAGAAATAAAGTCTGCATGTTTGTGTTTTGATCTTTTAATTCCAGTTTTCCATGAACTTTTTAAAATTCTCTCGTATACTCTAGGTAAACTTCTCACTACTGTAAGAAGTAAGTAAGTCTTTCTCTAAACTCTGGTAAGCCTTGCTTCCTCTAATGGCGTTAGAAATCTTTAGCTGTTCCTGAGAGTTGATTCTGACCTAGGGTGACCCCTTGTGTGTTAGTCTAGGCAAATGCTCCACAGAGTTTTTAACGGTTCATTTTTAGGAGTAGATTGTTAGGCTTTTCTTCCAAGGTGAATCTGAACCTCCAACCTTTCAGTTAGCAGCCAAGTCAATTCCCTGCTTGTACTATCCATAATGGAGTGAGTTATCCACCATTCCCATTTTGAAGAAACTAAATATGAGATCATGGAACTTTTACATAAACTTTTTGAAACCCCCTGGTGGTGCTGTTGGGTAAGCAGTGGATTACTAACTTCAGTGAGTGGTTTGTACTCTCCAACTACTCCCTGGGGGAAAGATGAAACTGCTCACATAAAGATTTATGGAGCCGTTCTATTCTGACCTATATGAGTTCACTATGTGTGAGAATCTACTTGTTGGCAGTGTATGGGTTATATATATATATATACACAGTTCCATCACTTATTTGTGTAAATTATTTGGTCCTAGAACTACTGGTGTGGTGCTGTAGGATTAGCACTGGACTGCAAACCACAAGTTTGGCAGTTCAAAACCACCAGCTGCTCCTTGGAAACCCTATATAGTGTCACTATGAGTTGGAACCAACTTGACAGCACTTAACAATGATATCAACAACACTGTAAAATGGTGATAATAATACATTATTGAACCACTGACTTTGTGGTTTAGCAGTCCAGTGCTTATCCTAGAGTGCTACACCAGGACTCCTTTTATTGTAGTTACCTGCCAAAAATTCCTTCCGCAACCTTACTTAAAATCCACACTAAAGTATTCCTGACCCAGCCATGGTCCTTTCAGTTGCCTCATATGATTGTGAAAGTTGTACAGTGAGTAGGGAAGACAGCACAAGAATAAATGCATTTCAATTAAGGTGTTGGAGAAGAATATTGAAAGTACCATGCACTTCCAGAAGAATAAATGAGTCCATTATGGAAGAAGAAGCAGGATGGAGGAACAAGAGACTTCATCTTATGAGTAGTGGTTATGAATCGGGCTGCTAATCACAGTCAGCAGTTCGAAACTACCAGCTGTTCCTCGGGAGAAAGATGAGGCTGTCTTCTCCCATAAAGATTTACAGCCTTGGAAACCCTGTACAGGGTCTCTAGGAGCCGAACAGACTCCATGGCTTATAACAACAACAACAAAATCAGGAGGAAGACAGCATGCTTGGTAAAGTGGAACATCTATGAAAAAGAGGAAGACTTCCAATGAGATGGATTGAAAAGGCGGCAGCAATAATGGGCTCAAATGTAACAATTGTGAGAATGATGCAGGAGTAGGCAGTGTCTCGTTTTTTTGTGTGCATAGGGTCACTGAATCGGAAATGACTCGATGGCACCTAATAAAAACAACAAAGTAGCCCATTTCTTCTAAAACTTACATTATCACACAATGAATGGATTTAATGTCTAGTAAGTAGCATGTCTGTGAAAATAACATAGTGATTCCTGATTTGCTATTTTAGAATTAGCATAGAATAGCAAACTAACTTGAAGTAGAATACAAAATTAAGGAGGATACCTACATCAACAATTAAGAAGTCGAGCCAACACCAGGCATTGGTGAAATATGTTTGATAGCCATATGCTACCCATTTTAGAAGCATTTCCAGAATGAAAATGTAAGTGAAAACCTTGTCAGCATATTCCAACATAGTCTTAATCGTCTTTCGCTGATCAATATATATGTCTTCGAATGCCTATAAGGAAAAAGTTAAAGTCATACATTTTAGCTTTCAAATGCTATAACAGTCCACAAGCTATTTTTGTCTTTATCTATCTATCTATCTATCTATCTATCTATCTATCTATCTATCTATCTACCTACATACCTACCTAGCTATCTCTATCTAACTCAAAGTAGAAACTGTTGAAAACAAGAACTTAATGTGGCTGCCTTGGATTTATGGATCTCACACATTTTCTGTCTCTGACAGGATGCTTACCACTTTTTCTATTACTTCCTCTTAGGAATCCCACCTCATAAACACCCAGTGACTTTTCCTTCTCTGTCTTACACAGGTTCTGGCTTCTGTAGGTTTTATTGCATCTATCAGTTTAATTTATAGTTACCATAGGAATAGTAGCTATTGTTGTTTGTTTCTTCTTTTAATTATTCAATCAGGGGAAAAGTAATAATCTTCATTACTGAACAGCAAGCAGAAAGATGTGAAAGCGTAATTCCAAAGCATAATTAATTTGGCTTGCTCAATAAATAGTTCTTGATGTCATATCTTGATGTTGCTACCCTAACTTGAAGTTGTTTGTTTCTTAGTTTCATTTCTTTTGCTTCCTTTTGTTGTTTGCTCCAGAAGGAAGGGGAAAAAAACTAAAAAGTGAAGACCTAGATTTCATAAAGCAAAAAATGTGATTGACCATCACACTGCCGGATTTTAATAAATATTTAGGTTCATTTGCCTCTTTCTTGTTTCCTTACTTTGTTTAGAATTCAAATTTCTCAGTAGAGATCTGGTGTGACAACAGTGGTAAAATTACTTCTCAGTTAGATCATAAGTCTTTTTCTAATATTAAACTCTCTCTGATAATTTTACAGCTAAGTGTATGTTCCTTTCAATATTGAAAGTGTATTTATTGTCTAAATGGTTTATAGAGAAAATGTATCTCATCAGGGAGAGATCCAGGAAGATATAGGCCTTTTAGAATTACAAACTTAATTGAAAGAATTTGTAAGTAATTGTGTTTCAATTAGTCACAAATTCTTTCCCACTCCCTCGTTCCTTCTTTATCTATCATCTAACTAATCACATAAGTAATCCATTTGTGTCTCAGCATTTTAAAAAATGTTGCCGATTTTGTACATACACTATATTTTTATAAATTATTTTCATATAAATATAAATTGATTCTACTGAAATGAGCAACTTTTTATAAAGAGAAGCCAGTCTTTCAATGAATCACTTAGGCATGCTGCCCAATATTTATTGTTACCAACATTCATTGTTTCCCAAGCAGCAAGAGAATAAGAAACACAATTAGAACGAGACAGAGAAATGATCCCTGAGGACTAACTGATTGTCTCAATACTATCACTGAGAAGCGAACAAAATTTATCAAAACTCAGAGCAGAACTTCCACTAACTATAACATGGCTGCCATGCTTATTTCTTTTTAAATATGAGTAACTGAGAATTTGTATTCTTTGAATTATAATAAATAAGGTGGAGGGTCAAATTTTATGGGCTACTTCATAATAAATAATCATTACGAAATAGCTTATTAGAAATGTACATATGCACAATAAAAGTAAATCCAGAAATGCACAGGTACACATTTTATACATTAAGTCAATGGTATGGAAGATATTAAGCAGAGTAATTTAAAAATTCATTGGATACTAGCACAAGGCAGTAGAAAGTATGAATAAGTCATCAATATCATAAGATTTAAAAAATTTATATTGTAGTGTTCTTAATTAACAATCACTCACCAGAGCGCCACTACTAAGGAGAATCATGAAGACAATGAACGTCTCAAACCAGTTATGTTCAACAATTCGGAAACACGTTCTTCTCAAGTTCCACCATTGCTTTCCTCGCCCTTCTTCCACACTGACTTGACAACATTTGAATCTTTGTACACAACCTGCAAGCATAATGTTCATAGAAAGAGTAGATAAAACAACTTCTACTTCAATAATATCCTTTGGCATGTCCCTGTTGTCTTTGTATTACAATGGATCCCCTATCTTGCTAGGACATATGCTATAACCCTGGAATAGTTAGAACTGATCACTAACTACATGAAGCTGGGAACATTTTCAGCGTCTTGAAATGGTTTCCTGGTAATAATACCTACTTTTTCTACTTTAGTGTTGCTGTTCAGAAAAGGACTTTGGAAAGAGTAAAGTACAAATAATCGTGAAGGACCTTTATCTTGCAGTCTATCAACCTATTGCACTCAACTGAAGTCACTCTAGAATAATAAGGCTTTTAAATACAAATTAAACATAGTAACAGAAAACTTCCTTTTAAAAGAGGATCTCCTATTATTCTTGATTTTCTTAAATTTTTCCTAAAAGAGAGACTAAATAATTTTCAGAATTAATTTAGTATACTAAAATGTGATTTTTCCTGGCCCTTTTCTTATTTGACATTGACTTTCTCATTTGCCATTGCTTTTATTCCTTCTAACATCATAATTACATCAACAAATATTTGTGATGACCTTTGTAAGCACAGTTAAAAAAAAAAAAAAAAAAATAAAAACAAAACACTGCCATCAGGTGAATTCCAACTCACAGACACGTTATGGTGGTGGTGGAGGTGGTAGTGTGCTATGGAGTTGGTTCTGACTGTTTCATAGTGACCCTACATAGCGTTTCCAGGTCTGTAAATCTTTACAGAAACAGACTGCACCATCTTTCTCCCATGGAAAGGCTGGTGGATTCAAACCACTGACCTTTTGTTTAGCAATTAAATGCTTTAATTGTGGTGCCATCAGGGCTCCCTGTAAGTACCATAGAGGATTTGAAATAATGATAATGTACACAAGCAGTCAGAGTGCTCCTTGGAGGCCAGGAAGGCAAAACTTCATCACTCATATTTCGGACATATTGTAAGGAGGAACCAGTTACTGGAGAAGGATATCATGTTTGGTAAGGGGAGGGTTTGAGAAAAAGAGGAAGACCCCCTTTGAGATGGACTGGCAAAGTGGCAGCATCAATGGGCTCAAGCATGACAACAATCGTGAGGTCGTCCCAGGACAGGGCAGTGTTTCATTCTGTTGTGCATAGGGACTCTATGAGTCGGTACCAACTCAATGGCACCTAAAAACAACAATACAACAATGTACCTTACAATAAGAACCTTTACATCCTCGATTAAAAAAAATATATGAGTATATAAGCACAGAAAATGGTTATCTACACCCTCAAAACCACCTTCAAAAAGGCAGAAGAGCAGAGTGTGGTACCCTATCCAGAGAAGCAGTGATGCCAGAGATGGAGGCAGAGACGATGATGTGGAGAGATGGAGTGGCTGGGGACTCTAGTCTCATGGAGGGAGAGGGGCTGTGTGCTGGTGGTTGGGGGCCAGGCTTGCAGGGTGTACCCTTTGGGTGTTCGAATGATTATATATTCCTGAGTGCTTTGGTGTACATCCAAACAACAACAACAACAACAACAACAACAACAAAACCCCAGAGGGAATAGAAGCAAATACTGTTGAATGATGATGCATAGAGGGGATTGTAATCATTGCAATGAAACAAAATACAATGTGATGAGTGTAAAGCTGATGTTATCCCATGTAAATTATCACTCAATTCGCAATAAAACTTTAAAGAAAAAAAAAAAAGCAGAAGGCTGAAAGAAAAGGGGAGGACAGAAAAGAAAGAAAGAAGGAAGGAAGGAATGGAGCAAAGAGACAGGGAAAGAAAAAAGCAACAGGAAAGGAAATAAGGAGCTCTGGTAGCGTAGTGGTTACGAATCGGGCTGCGAACCTTAAGGTCAGCGGTTCGAAACTACCAGCTGCTCCGCGGGAGAAAGATGAGGCTTTCTACTCCCGTAAAGATTTACACCCTCGGAAACCCTATACAGGGTCGCTATGGGTCGGAACCGACTCGATGGCACATAACAACAACAACAACAATATACATTGACAATTTAAAAGTGAAAGAGAAGAGCTACCATGAGCCAGAATCCACTCAACCCAAATTAATCACAGTGTGTATATTTGTTATAGGTGTTCAGAGGACTGAGCAGCACTTTTATGCTATGGGAGCCAAGTGGTGCAGTGTTCAAGGGCTCACGGAACCGCACAGCCACACCTGCTTCATTGGAGAAAGATGTGGCAGTCTGCTTCCATAAAGATTTAGTCTCGGAAGCCAGCTGAGGAAATGCTACTCTGTCTTACAAGATCACTCCGAATCAAAAGTCACTCCACAGCAGTGAAGTTGGGTTTTTATGATATCATTGTTAGGTGCCAGTGAGTCAGTACCAACTCATAGCACTACTCAATCCTTCGCCAACTTCATAATCGTTGCCATGTTTAAGCCCATTGCTGCTGCCACAGTGTCAATCCATCTCCTTGGAGGCTTTCCTCTTTTTCTCCCAACATCCACTTTACCAAACATGATATCCTTCTTTAGGGAATGGTCCCTCCTGACAATATAGCCAAAGTATGAGAGATGAAGTCTGGACATATTGGCTTTCAAAGAGTATTTTGGCTGTATTTCCTCCAACACAGACTGATTTGTTTTTTTGGCAGTCGATGGTACTTTTAATATTCTCCTTCAACACCATAGTTCAAAAGCATCAATTCTTCTACGGTCTTCTTTATTCACTGTCCAACTTTCACAAGCACATGAGGTTATTGAAAATACCATGATTTGGGTCAGGTGCACCTGAGTCCTCAAACTTTGCTCTTAACATCTTTGCTCTTCAACATTCTAAAAAGGTCTTGTGCAGCAGATTCGCCTAATGCGATATGTCATTTGATTTCTTGACTCCTGTTTCCATAAGTATTGATGGTTGATCCGAGCAAAATGAAGTCTTTGATAACTTCAATCTTTTCTTCATCTATATGGATATTGTTAATTGGTCTAGTTCTTACAATTTTTATTTTCTTTGCATTGAGGTGCAACCCATACCTAAGTTTTTGTTTTTGTTTCCCTTCATAAACAAGTATTTTAAATGCCCTTTGTTTTAAGTAAGCAAGGTTGTTAATGAGACTATCTCCAGATCTAATACCAGCTTTTCTTCATATAATCCAGCTTTTTGGATTATGTGCTCAGCATACAGATTGAATAAATATGGTAAAACAATACAACCCTGGTACACATCTTTCCTAATTTTAAAAGCATTCAGTGTTCCCTTGCTCAGTTCGCACAACTACCTCTTGGTCTATGAACAGGTTTCTCATGAGCCCAATTGAGTGTTCTGGAATCCTCATTTTCTGTAGTGTTTTCCATAGCTTGTCATGATCCACACAACTGAAAGCTTTTCTGCAATCCATGAAGTAAACATCTTTCTGGTATTCTCTTCTTTCAGTCAAAATCCAACTGATGTCAGCAATTATATTTCTCATTCCACATTTTCTTCTGAATTCGGCTTGAACTTCTGGAAGTTTCCTGTCAGTGAATGGTTGCAGTTGCTTTTGTATTATCTTTGGTAAAACTTTATTCATATGGGATATCAATGATGTTGTATGATGATTTCCACATTCTGTTGGGTCACCTCTCTTTGGAATGGGCACTAATTTCGATCTCTTCCAATCAGTTGACCATTCAGTTGTCTTCCAAATTTCTTTGCAAAGATAAGTGAGTGCCTCCAGTGCTTCATCAGTTTGTTGAAAAGTTACAATTTGTATTCTTTCAATTTCCAGTTCCACATTCTTTGCCAATGCCTTCAATGCACCTTGGACTTCTTCCCTCAATATCACTGGCTCTTGATCATATGAGACCTCTTGAAATGTTTAAACATCAACATACAGTGGCTCTGTGTATTCCTTTCATCTTCTTTTGATGCTTTCTGCATCATTCAATATTTTGCCCATAGAACCCTTCAGTATTTCAAGTTGAGACTTGAATATTTTTTCTTCAGTTCCCTCAGTTTGAGAAATGTTCTTTCCCTTTGGTTTTCTCACTTCAGGTCTTTGGACATTTGGTTATGTTTGACTTTGTCTTTTCAAGCTGCCCTTTGAAATTTTCTATTTAGCTCTTTTACTTCTTCCTTTCTTCCATTTGCTCTAGGCTGGAGAGCAAATCTCAGAGTCTCTTCTGACATAATTTTGGTCTTTTCCTTATTTCTTGTCTTCCTAATGACCTTTTGCTTTCTTCTTGTATGGTGTTCTTGATGTCATTCCACAGTTCTTCTAGTCTTCAGTCTTTAGTGTCTAATGAATCAAATCTGTTCATCAGATGAGCTCTAAATTTAGGTGGACATGTTCAAGTTCATATTTCACTCTTCTGGACTTGTTTTAATTTTCTTCTGCTTCAGCCTGAACATACATATGTGCAATTGATGTTCTGTTCCACAACCTAGCCTTTTTTCAGCTGATGATATGGAACTTTTCCGCTGCCTCTTTCCACAGATGTAGTCAATTTGATATCTGTGTATTCCATCTGGTGAGGTCCATGTATATAGTCATCTTTTATGTTGTTTAAAAAATGTATTTGAAATGAAGAAGTCATTGGTCTTGCAAAATTCTATCCTGTGGTCTCTAGCATAATTTCTATTACCGAAGCCATATTTTCCAAATACTGATCCTTCCTCTTTGTTTCTAACGTTTGCATTCCTGTCACCAGTAATTATCAATACATCTTGATGGCATGTTTGACCAAGTTCAGTCTTAAGAAGCTGGTAGAATTCTTCAATTTCATCATCACTGGCTTTAGTGGGTGGTGCATAAATTTGAATAATAATGGTATTAACTGGTCTTTCTTATAGGCATATGGATATTATCTTATCACAGACAGTGTTGTACTTCAAGACAGATCTTGATATGTTCTTTTTGACGATGAATGTGACGCCATTCCTCTTTCATTTGTCAATCCTAGCATAGTAAACCATGTGATTGTCAGATTTAAAATGGCAATACCAGTGCATGTCAGCTAATGTCTAGGATATTGATGTTTATGCATTCAGTTTCAGTTTAGACCACTTTTAATTATCCTAAATTCATACTTCGTACATTCCTTGTTCAGATTATTAATGGAAGTTTATAGCTGTTTCTCTTCATTTTGAGTTGTGTCCTATCAGCAAATCAAGGTCTCGAAGGCTTCACTCTTTGTGTCATCAAGGTCAACGCTACTTGAGGAGGCAGCTCTTCCCCAGTCACATTTTGAGTGCCTTCCAACCTGAGAAAATCATCTTCTTTCTGGCACTGTATCTGACAATATTCTGAGTGCTCTTCATCATGTTTCAGTATTCAGTATTCTGGTGCTAAAAATGTTCCCCTGTTATTCATAAGATTTTTGTAACTAAATATTTGGAAATAGTTCATCTCTCGTTCTTCCTAGTCAGTTGAAAGTAGTTTTATGCAATAGTCAGTTGACGTAGCTTTGAGAAGGAATATGAATGCATATGATTTATGTAAGTAATATGCATAGAAGCAGACTGAATACATTTCAGACCTATGAGGACAAGACCATTACAAAGATAATTTTCAAGTACATTCACACCTCCAAAACTCATATCCTCATGAAAGTCAGATAATGGGAAATATTAGTAATGGGAAAACCTATCTTTTCCAACTATTGCCCTTGTTGTACTAGTCTGAGCTGTATGCTGTGTAGGTAACAGGTATCAAAGTCAGAACTTTCTCCCGTTCTATCCGACAAGTATTGGAACAATATATTTTCTTTAAAAAGAAAACGTTTAGCATTTGTAATTCATTTAGATTTGTTGTTGTTGTTAAGTGTTGTTGACTTACTTCTGACTCATAGCAACCCTGTATAGGATTTATGAGAAGCAGTTGATGGGTTTGAATCACTGATCTTGTCATCCAATGATCATCCTACAGTGCTACACCAGTAAGGAAATTACCTTTAAGGCAGACTATATTTTGAGTAGTTTATAAGATGCAAATATATTGTTAAATCACTATTTTACTTAAAAAAATTATGTTACTATATTTTTAAATTATAATTTTTATAAATGATAAATGTGCTGTGATTACCTTAAAACAATTTTCTCATTCATGTTCATAATGAGGGAAGATAACCAAGTAATAGCCTGGATTTTAAACCTTTCAGTCTGTTAACATCTTAGTGGGTCATAGAAATAGATCTGCTACTAAGTTACAAATATTCACTCTAGAAATGTAGACTGAACATCAAGATTGTTGTCCTTACCTTCAGTGAAACAGGCTTCAGGCTCCAAGGTTTCTTCAGGTTCCACTACAGGCTGCTCTTCCGCAGGAGCGCCAATGTCTACAGTGCTGCCTTCCGAGGAGCTACTGCTTTCGTTAAGTTTCTATATGTGAGATGGACATAAAAAAGTAATCACTTTAATTCTGATAACTAATATATGGTCTGTTGTTTGTTAAATACTTTCAAATTGAAATAGCAACCATGTATAAGGTTTCCAACGCTTTAAATCTTTGCAGGAGCAGAAAGCCTCCTCTTTCTCCCAGGGAATGACTGGTGGGTTCAATCTGACGACCTTGTGGTTCACAGTCCAGTGCTTACCATATGGAACCACCACGCTCCCCAATAAATGTTCTACTAAGAAATAATTCATGCCATTAACTTATTTCGAATTCTTCTTGAAGTAAAGAGATTTTTTTAAAATGTAGTTAATATGTATGTGTGCATAGCAAACATTTAGAATTTCAACAACCTTCACATGAATAATTCAGTAAGTAATTATGTTCTTTATATTCAACCATCATCCTTATCCATTAAAGAAATTTTAAGTTTGGAACAAAAGCAGTTTTAAAAAGATGAAATAAGGAAATCAATGTCTATGTTAACTTCTTCACCATAATTCACAATGCAGGCATAAAATAAGATTGGTGTGTTATGAAGTTAAAAATGTCACCCATAATACATACTAAGTAAACACTCTCCTATGAATGAAGAAGACACAAGAGCGGTAGAGAGGATAAGAAAGGAAAAGAGAGAATTAGAATCCTTAGAATCCTACCTTAGAAGGAAATAACATCATTAGTTTATTCTGCATTTTAATGTCAGGTTTTACATAATTCTTTTACTAGCTTGTATGATCAAATACTACCTGTTGGTTTCACTCACAGTTTCATGGTTAGGCTGTTCAGAAGCAGTTATAATAAGAGTGGTAATATACATACGTATATAGAATATATGTATATATTCCATGTGCTCTTTGGGAAAAGTTGTTAAAGAATACAGTAAGTGAAACATTTATCCATAGACAAATTACCTTAGACACATCAACTAAAATGTTCAATTTCTGGAAAATCCTTTAGAGCCTGAAGCGTTGTACACTGAGATGAAAAATGTGTGGGGAAATATTTTCTCTTGTATTTTTACAGCATTATGAGGACACATATTTCTCTCCCTAGAATTCTAAAAGTCCTGGTGTCAAGCTGTGGGTTAATGTGTTGGACTGCAAAGTTAGTTTGAACCTCAAGGTCGGTGGTTTAAGCTCATCAACCACTCCTTGGAAATCCTATACAGGGTCACTATGGGTCAGAACTGACTCAACAGCACTTAACAATAACAACAGACTTCTAATAAGACATACGTAGTAGACACAAAATAGAAATTATCAATATGTCCACTAAGATTGGAATGCATCTTGAATGCTCTTCCTGAAAACCAACACTGTCTTTAAAAATTATGGTGAGAGTAATTGTAGGGCAGCTAATTATTTATTGTGGCCCATCTAGCCAGATGTCTCCATTATGTGAGTGGTGTAAATCATAGCTTCTATGCCTATGATTATGGACTAATTTTGAAGTGAATTGCTAAAGAGTAAGGGTTAATGTGGGGCTAAGGATAAATATTAAGTAGTCCTGGTGTGGCGCTGTGGGCTAATGCATCAGACTGCAAAGTCATTTGAACTGCTAGGTCAGTGGTACAAGCTCACCAGCTGCTCCTTGGAAACCCCATTCAGGGTCGCTATGGGACAGAATCGACTTGACAGCACTTAACAACAACAACACCTTTCTAGAAGTCCTGATGTGTTGCTGTAGGACAGGCATTGGACTGCTAAACACAAGGTCAGTGATTCAAACCCACCACCTGCTCCTTAGAAACCCTATACAAAGTCCCTATGAGTCAGAACTGACTCAACAGCACTTAACAACAGCAACCTAACTAGAGGGTGTGACTTAAGTCACCTTACTCAGTTTCTCTTGAGGGCATGGCCTGGCTCCAATTTTTAGTACTGCCTTGGGAAAGTTTGAACTCTTGCCCTGGATCTGGCATCTGGTTCATTATATCTGACCTCCAGTTCCTGGGATTTTCAGACCATCACCTGACCTGGTTCACCAGCAACCCCAGCTTCATACACCAATAACTTGTTGTCTGACCTGCCAGTTTGAGTTCCTCAGCTCATGACACTACATGGGTGAGATGATGCCTCCAGACTGATCTCTGAACTATTGATTTGGGAATTGCCAGGCTCCACAATTATATGAGTCATTGCCTTTGACAGTTGTGAGTTTTGTAAGACGTTGCAGTGTGTTGCAGAACCCTGAGACATGAGGGAGGAGAGCAGTGGTGATTGATAACAATGAAGGTGATGTGGTTGGTATAAGATGTTGGGAAAGTTCAACAGTTGGGATATCTTTAATCTCCAACTCTTAGGGACTAGCCTTGTGCTGATCTTTCTAAAAGAAATTACTCATGCACTAACTTATTTATTCAGTAATTTGTAAACTAATATCTGTTAAATCCCAACAATGTGCTAAATTGTGAGTATTAACTGGTGAGTGAAACATCTATGGTATGGCCTTCATGAAATGTTCAAATCTAATATAGAGTTTCTCAAAATTGAGATGTAAATAGATCATCTATCAGGTACTTAAAAGCACACACCAACCAACCATTGTATCTGTTTTTAATAATATTTTAAAAAACAAGAATGAAATAAAATATTTAAAAATTATTGGCAAGAATTTTATATTTTATATGTAGCCACACACAAATGTATAAGAAAGTTGATTTTGGTGAGAAAACTTCACCAAATTGTTTGCTCAAAGGATAGCTCATAGGTCTCAGTCCAGATTCATTCCCTTTCTTCCTTTACTTTTCATTTCTTATAAAATAGAAAAATATGGGGAGTCTTCAAAAAGTTTGTAGAAAAATTGATGGAGAGGTAATGAAATTTTTCTAAACCTTTTGACATTCCTTCATATTAATTCATAATTAAAAGTCATCTAACATAATATATCTGAATATAAATTCAGAAATTAAAACATGATTTCTCACTGATGATCAATTTTAGCAGTCCAGCAAACATTAAATTGGCCTTAAGACCACACTCAAAACCTGGAAGGTTGAATGTTCAACACGGGGTACGGTAGCAAGTATAATTTTATTCTACTTTTTGGTTACATTTGTTTCTAAAAATCTTTATGTTCTATTTCAGCCTTTGTATTGAATTAAAAACAAGCACTGTAACAAGTCATAGGGTTTCTGAGGAACAGCTGGTGAATTTGAACCGTCGTCCACTTTGCAGTTCAAACCAATTTCGTGGTTCAGTGCATTATCCCAGAGTGACACATCAGTACTCCTTATTTTACATTGTTGTGATTAAGTGTCGTCAAATCAGTTCCGACTCACAGCGATACAATATAGGGTTTCTGAGGAACAACTTGTGAGCTTGGACCGCCAACCTCGTGGTTCAAATGGACTTTGCAATCCAGCACGTTATCCCACAGCATAACACTGGTGGTGGTTATGAGCCGTGGTGTCAGTTCCGACTCATAGCGACCCTGTACAGGGTTTCCGAGGCTGTAAATCTTTACGGGAGCAGAACGCCTCATCTTTCTCCTGCGGAACAGCTGGTAGTTTTGAACTGCTGACCTTGAGGTTCACAGCCCGATTTGTAACCACTGTGCTCTTAACAGAGTTCCTTACAGCATCACTCTAGGGCTCCAGTAAGTACTCCATTGTTATTGTTAAAGTGCCATCAAGTTGGTTGACTGATAGCAATACTATAGTGTTTTGAGGAGTGGCTGATGAGTTTGAACCGCCAAATTTGCATCCATAACGACCTTGCAGTCCACAGTGCAGTACTACGTTGTTGTTGTTAAGTGCCATGGAGTAGGTTCCGACTCACAGTGACCCTGTATAGTTTTTCTGAGGAGCTGCTGGTGAATTTGAACCACCGACCTTGTGGTTCAAACTGACTGTGAAATCGAGTGTTTATCCTATGGCACCACATCAGAATTCCAAGTACTACACTGTTGTTGTTTTAAGTGCCATCAGTCAGTTCCAACCCATAGCGACCATGTATAAGGTTTCCCGAGGAGCAGCTAGTGAGCTTGAACCCATGACCTTGTGGTTCAAACCAACTTTGCAGCCCAGCGCATTAACCCATAGCTCAATATCAGGACTCCTTAAGACTCACAAACAAAAGAAAGTCGTTCATACACTAATAATTCTTTTACCAACTTAAAAAGTTTCCATGCAGAATATATTATGATGACACTAACAGATAAAAGCAACTATAATTCACCTTGAAATAAAAACAAATTTCATATTGTTACTGTAAACTGATAAAGATTATATGATAGAAATAGTATCCTTACAGAAATGATTTCATCAGTTACAACAAACTAACATTTTGTTAGCTGTAGATATGCATTCTACTTAATTTTTGTTTACACTAATCCTGCCAACATAATTATATGTTTGTTATAAAGCAAATGCTATAATAGTCATGCTATAATACTAACTTAAGCAATAATAAAACCCTTTCGCATGGTATTAACTCAGAGGAAATTTACAAAATACTTTGCTTTAAATTGAAATCATTTTAAGTAATAAATACCTTATATTTAGTATTTTAAAACTACCTGAAAATTTGGGTCAAATGTAGTTTTTGTTTAGCACAGTTGTTCACAGTGTGCATATTGCCTGAATACAAAGAGTATGCACTATATCACAATTTGTTTTCATAACTAAATGTGGTCATTAATCATTGATATTTCAATTTTCTAATCAGCAACTTTGAATCCCAAGGTAAAAAGTGGTGGTCCTAAAATAATATAAATTAATTGTATTTAATTCCTACCCATTGCCTTATTAAACATCCATCCATCCTGGATGAAGACAAAATAAATGACTGCATTTTTTATGTATAATGTGACTACAGGTCTTGTTGGGTGGGCCAAACTTTTTCCATGTGAGAGTGCTATTGGCAATACATACAATTTTGCTCTTAAGAGTATTCTTTAAAGTTATTTGTTCTTTTTTTAAAACCTAACTTTATAATACAAGTATGTTACCAATATTTACTGGTAACATGAAATATAATACAAG